GTCATTTTCTAAAGAGTCACCAGTTCTAGAGGTTTTCTAAAGTGTTTCTTTGGACAATGGCTGCTTTTTCACTCATTTTCAGTGCAGTCCTTCAGACAACAACATTTCTTTTCTTGAATCTATGAAAAATATCTGGAACTTCAGTGGATCGTTTGTTCACTGACGTCTCATCAGAAATGGTCTCAAACATCTCAGTGCATTCCTATTTTATTGTACTTTTATCTTAGAGTACTTTATTTTTCTATTGTCCCTTATTTTTGTGTTCACTGTAAAGCACTTTTGTCACCTAAAGTTGTTTAGTATTTGCTATACAAATAAAGTTGAAATTTTGTTGTCCAAACTCTGTTTCTGCCTGAAATACTGTATTTACATGTTTCAATAAATCACTGTACCCATTCCTTATTTTACTAGCAAGATAAACAAATGAGTGATAGCTCTTTTCTTGCTAATGGCTCCTCCAAAAAAAAAATGGCACAGAGAAAATAGCTACACAAATATCAACAACTTTTGTGTGGCCATTAGTTTGACTTGCATACAATGTTGGACTGAGCAAACTGTTCGGTCCACAAACAGTAAACCACCACTGAGAACACAACTTCTCATACACGATCCAAGACATGAAGATCAAGAAACAAGCTGCTCAAGCTGAGTAAGTTGAGAAGCCAAACAAGCAGCTGTCAATCTTGATTTTCAACAGGTAACAAAAGCAGAGATGAACAAGCTCGTATTTTCTGCCTGTACTCGTTCATACGGCACAATCACCAAAACAGAGTGTGACGTTTTTCCTTCTCCTCCACCCCACGCAGTTTGCTGGCAGCTTTGTGGTAATTTCAAACAGGCAACTAAAACAAAGACCTTCTGTATGAATTTCATTTTAAAGAGATATTGGAGCAGACGAAGTTTGGCGTCATATTGTCAGAGCAATCGCACAGGTGACGTTTTGACACAAAAGGAATGTAATTAATGACCTTCTAAATACAATAACACAAACTTTCTTGTAACACAACACCGCTCAATACAAACTCAGAAAATGGCCACAAGAACAGTTTCAGATGGAAAAACTAAAAATTAACATTGTGAAATAATACTAACAACAACAACAACAAATTAATAAAAATAAATTGAGTGCAATTACACTTTTCTTATGCTGACATGCCGAGGCCACAGCTGCCCACAGATGTGCTGACGTATCTAAAGTAAAGAGAGTCTTTACTTATTCATTACTGAATGAATTATTACACATTGCTCAAGTAAATGAGAAGCTGGGCTGTTTTTTTTTTAAGGGGGGACTTTTCTATTAATTTCTACCTCTGCATTTGTATTCTTAGTACAGCTTTGCATGATTCACAGTATCAAAATAATCCTCTTATCTCATTATGTCCTTAAAGCTAGCTTTCTTCTGATTGGATGGTTCTCACAAACAGAAGCTTTTGACAGTGAGTGGGTGGGGCTTGTACCTGCTCTCTCACATCAGTGCCAACAGACTCAAGCTGTCACTGACTGAGCATTCAGAGCAGTCTGAAGTCTGAGCTTTTGGTTTTGATGACAACTCTTTAAAAGTCAAGCTTTGCAGCTTTTCTGTATTTTAAAGATGAATTGAAGCTTTTAAAGTTTTATCATACTGGTGTAAAAAAATAAATGATTTAAATGTGTCTGCGTGTCATTTTGAAACTCACGCTCAAACGCTGATACAGTTTTAAGGAATTCATCCACACTGAACAAAAACCAGTGTTGACGAATTAATCTGCTGAACCCAGTGACTCATCTCATCAGTAATACACTATACTGCCAAAAGCATTCACTCATCCATACAAACTATTGAATTCAAGTGTTCCAATCACTTTAGTGGCCACAGGTGTATAAAAATCAAGCAGCTAGCCATACAGACTGCTTGTACAAGCAAGCTCCATAAAGACACAGAGGAGAGAATTTGGTGTAGAAGAACTTGACTGGCCTGCACAGAGTCCTGACCTCAACCCGACAGAACACCTTTGGGATTAATTCGATTGCAGACTGTGAACCAGGCCTTCATCCGACTGTACTTCTGGAAGAATGTTCAAAAATTCCCATAAACACTCCTGAACCTGAGTTGAAGCTGTCGTGTCTGCAAAGGGCCGACATCATATCAAACCCTAAGAATGGGAGGTCACTTAGGTTCAGATGTGTGTGAAGGCAGATGAGTGAATACTTTTTGCAGTGTAGTGTATTTGTGCTCACACATTTCTTTCTAACAAGCCAGCAGCTGTGCTGTGTGCAAGATCTGTACGAACTAACACCAACACTTCCTCCTGGCCAGCATTTGTGTTGTGAGAGACAGTAGGGGCGTGCGAGGTAGCAAGCGCTCTTGTTTTTGGCAAGACACTAAAAGCTGTGTACATCAGTTTTAAAATAGCCCGGAGGCGAGCGGCACCCTGCAAACTAATCCACTGCCTCAGCCTTTGGTTTTAGCATGCACTAAACAACAGAACTGCGACTTCAAGCTCTGAAATGCTCCCAACATAAAGATGCATTTTATTAAGAGAAACCGTCTTGAGAAACACCCACAGGCTGAACTCCAAGTTAATGAGGAAGAAACTCCCACTCTTCACTCATCTACTCAGAGAAATATCAGACTTGATCGTCTTTCTTGCAGCAGTAGCTACAGCAGTGCTCCCAGCAGCAACTTAATTGTGTGGCTCGTGTCTTTTGCACCATTGACCTGCACAGCCAGGTGTGTGCAATCCAACCTCCTGGTTGGATTGCACACACCTGAGGGGGGGGGGCAGTCAGAGGCGCCTCTACACACAGACACACAAATTACAAACAAACCAGTTGACTCGCACCTTGCTCTAGCCGGAGGGACAACGACCTTCTGGCGGCCTCCACCTCCGATTTGGGGCTATCCAGAGCCTGCCGGCACCACTGCAGCGGTGTGAGGGCGTCGCTCGTGGTCTCCGACCTGCTGTCCTTTGATGACACATATAACCTGGAAAGAGAAGCAAGAGTGAACTAGACTTCTACACCTTCTATGAGCTCTGATAGGAGACTCTGGCCAATCCCAGATCTTTTCAAACATGATCAGGGGAGCAGTTTAAGAGACTACAAAGAGCTGGACAGTGTGTACACTGTGGTGGGGACAAATCTGGGAGACAAGGTCAACAAAAACTTACTCTGTAGTAAGGTGCTTGAATGCTCATTCATTCTGAAAGCCAACTGGAGCTTTACTTATTTAGCCTATAAACCAAGTAGTCCATCCTAATGTTTCAGGGTGTAGAGATGATGTTACTGCCCAACAAACAGTTCAAAACCAAAGAATGCGTTTGTGTAACTCTGAGAAAAGCAGTAAAAGCTCACATTTGAGATGGCAAAACAAGAAAACACAAATTACTGCCATTGTTTTGCCCAAGTTTGTGCTTGAAAGACATCTAAAACCGGTACTTAACAATGCCCAACTGAGCATTTCCTCCTTTTCTGTCATAAGAAGCTGTGGTCAGGCGTTTACATACACAGGCCTGTTAACTTGTTGTTATCCATCATGATCAATTACACCTGGTAGTTTCTCTTTGTCTATATATTAAAATATATAGACAAATATTACTCTTAATGCCATCTTCCTCTTTTAAAACTTCTCCTGTTTCAGGTCAACATCCTCCTCACTACATATCTAGCCTTAATGACGTGGCTATTCTTTTAACTCAACTCTTAGCTGTTGAATACAGATAACCAACTCAATCTGGATAATTCAGTGCTGTGACATACATATATAATCTCTCAGCACACAGTCCATGACAGATCGCACTCCAGACTCCATCGTTCCTTTTGCGCCACCAACTCGTTTCCTGTCAGAGAAATCTGTCTCCCACTCAGTTTGAAGGTGGTGTCAAGCCTTTTTAGAAGCAAGGAAGAGGCTCAAACAGAGTGGATCAGATTATTCTGACAGCCCGGATGCTGCTGCTCTGTGGGCAACATGGAAGAAGCTGAATTATAGATTAAAACCCCGGCTGACATCAGGTGAGAGTGTGACCTGAAGGGGACTGAGTGCACACCCACACATGTCTGTCTGTCTGTGTGTCTGTCTGTGTGTCTCTCTCTCTCTGCAGTATGAATCCGGCAAATAAAAGGATGTGCCGCAGCCTTCAAACATGGGTTTGATCTCCTGAGGTTCTAATAAATCACTCATCATATACATGTAGGATTTTTTTTTCCATTAAAAGAGTTTTTAAAGTAAGTATATCAAATGTTGGCAAATGAACAAACAACAGTGGTGTTTAAGGTAGTAAAGTACAACATTTTTCAGGTAATAAATAAAGGCGGGTGGATCGATACGACTATTGATAATACAGATACCAATGCTGGTATTGCTATTGGACCGATACTAGTGCAACAGGATCGATTCCTTCAGTATTTAGCCCGCTGAATTGTGTTAAAAATATACATATATATTTTTAAGTATATATATAAAAAAATATACATACGTATACACGTATGTATACACGTATGTATACACGTATGTATATATATGTATACGTATATATACACACACGTGTATACACGTACATATATATGTATACTTATATACATATATATGTACGTATACACGTACACTGCTACAAGTGAAAAAATGACCACTTGTATTAGTTAAATGCAGCCATGGGTCACTTCCTGTTTATGAGTTTGCACAACACCTCACAAGCTGTGACAAAAATCAGCAAAAAATTTCACTTCCTTAATTTGATTTGGTCCTCTCTGCAGCCACTCCACAGCAAAACACAAGAAGTGTTTCCCTGAAGCTTTATAGGCAAGTGGCAGCACATAAGTAGGGCCTGATTAACTTCAAGGTGTGTGTGGCTTTGTTGGGGCACTGCAGAGGGCTGGAGCAGCTGAAAACAAAGCTTTAAAATCCCACATTTCAGTTAGAAATCACAGACAACATAACTGAGCAACACATGGTTGGAAATGTTAAAAAGAAGCAGGGTGCAGTTACCAGGTTTCATCAGACTCCTCTGAGCAGCTCAGGGAATTCAAATCCAGAAGCTCCAGCTCGTCCAGAACCGACGGCTCGGATGCATCCTCCTCCTCGTCGTCGTCCTCCTCCCTCGCAGCAGCAGCCGCTCCATCCCTGCCGCTGTGCGGGTGGAAATAGTCGAAAGGCTCCTCGGGGGCAGAGAACGAGCCCAAGGACGAGTGGCACAGCAGGGTGGGCAGCGGGCTGGGGAGGCAGTATCCGCCGGCGCCGGCTCGGGTGCGCAGCTGCTCGTTCTGCCGCTCCAGTTTGCGCACCAGCTCCTGCAGCTTCTTCACCTCAAGCTCGGCGTTCAGGGTGTTGCTGTTGCAGTCCACCTCCGTCATGATCGCGGGGTTCAGCACGGCCGCCTCCATTGGAGCAAAGAAAAGCACACAAAAAGACCACAATACCAGCCGCCTTCACCTCTACCTCCACCTTAAACCACAAATGGAGGACAGGTAGGGGCAAGCTGCTGCTGCTGCGCCCTCAGACTGCTTTCTGTATTCGGCAGCGGTAGTAATCTGTCTAGTACGCCTGTCTGGACGCTCACCCAATGGGAGACTATATAACTCCCCCCCTCCCTCCGACACATTTACACACGTACCCCTCCCTCTGTTCCTCTCCCGGCACTGATTACAGGTAGAGGGTGCACCTGTCAGTCTAAAATGTGGGCTAATGTCCAACACACCTAACCTTAAATATATGACATTTAATTTTTTCATACTGTAACACATTTCTATATTCTGCTTCACTCAATGCAAACACACTGCCTCAGTTAATATTTACTTATAAGCTTTTAACTAATTAATGATGTTATTTTATAATGAGATGAAGTTATAATTAGCAACAGACGGTCACACATGGCAGGCATTTGTGAAACTTTGGCGACATCTAGTGGTTGAAGTGAGGGATATATCAAATTAAATATATATTATTTAATAACAGAAAAAAAGCAGAAAAAACGCCTACGTTCGTCCGGTTCTGCCTTTGACCTTTATCGGCAATATGTCGACCTCACTTTGTTTTTTCACTCTAGAGACTAAACTATTGATAAACTATCGAATTCGTCAATTTATTTATTAATAAAAAAAACGTTACTTAGTAGAAACCACCACAGTCACCCCAAGCTAATTTGCCTTTCACCGTTATTAGCATACACTCCCGAAAACACCCGGATACTCCGAATCCACGAAGGCAGTGCCCGAGCGTTAGTGTTGCACTGTGGGTAATGTAGGCCATGGATTTTGACAAAATAAAACGTAAAACGCGGAATAAAATCATATCTGGTTCTACTGCAGGTTGTTGGCAGCATATTTTATTTGATTAATTTGATTAGTAGATTTGTTTATATAAAAACTTTTTTAAACACATCACCACAGTTGACTTGATTCAATCTAAAAAAAAATTCTTAGTTTTGCTTCAAAAACTGCACGGTTTGCCGTAAAATCGTTACTCCTGACTTTAAAAAAAAAAAAAAAAAAATTAGCCTCGAGTCTTTAACATTTACTATAAAATAATCTCACACTATGGTGAACATAGGTACCTACCGTACTACCTAAGAAGGTATTAAAAAAAAAAAAAAAAAAAAAAAGGAAAATTGTTTAAATTGTATTTAAAAAAAAAAAAAGAAACCAAGCCAAAATATCACAACCTTTATTTCTATTTTATAGAAAATCTTTAATTTATTAATTGATGTACAGATAAACAGTCCAAACTATGAATTTCTTATAACATGTCTCCATCTGGTGGCTGAAGGTGTGTGTGTGAAGGTGTGTGTGTGTTTTCATGATGCACCTGCAGCAGGTGCATCATGAAAACCATGTGAGAAAGCATAGCACTTGGCACCAAGAGCTTAAAGAGGACAGAGTGACATCGCCTCTGGAGAGAAAATAAAGCAGTTTCAATGATGTCAGAAGTCAGTTTGAATGTTTCATATCCAAGCTCAGGGGGAACTGATCCGCCCCTCAGCGCTTCTTCCAAGTGAATTTCCGTCGTGCTCCCTCCTGTCCAGGCTTCTTCCTCTCCCTCACTCTTGGGTCGGGGGTCAGCAGACCAGCTGGGGAAAAAAAATGAAAAGAATGAAATATAACTGAACACAGGCGCAGATGTGTAAATATTTATGTATCTATTAGTTCATTAGTACATGCATGTCATAACACAAGTAGTCCTTATGAGACTGGAGAGTGACATAAATATTTATGGTAGGGAAGATCACGGCAACGTTTAAGTAACAAAAAAAAAGTGCTATGAAAGGAATTAACAAGAAAAAAAAAACATTAACAAGAACGAGAATCGTAAACACAGCAGCAAACAACCAGCTGTCACGGAGCTTTGTGGTCTCAGGAAAACCAGAGGTGATAAAAACTACACAATAAATTCAAGAATAAGTAAATAAGTAAATAACTTTACTTTATTATAGTTGGCTAATAAAAAAGGTTAGCTGAGAAAAAAAAGAAAAGAAAAAAGAAAGCAAACTCTGGAGAAAATACTGTGCTTTGTTCTGTTCTCTGTCAACATGATCCTACACTGCTTCAATAATGAGGTCCGATTCATGACTGATAGTGTTCCACTGCATGTTTTTCTATACAACTCTGATTTTACTGCACTAACAGTGTGTTTGGGATCATTGTCATGCTGAAAAATGAAGCTGTTATCAATCAGATGCTTCCTTGCATGATAGATTCAAAATCTGATGGCACTTTTCTGCATTATTGTCACAATTACTTAATGTCAGCAGATTAGACATGTGACCCTCCCATTCCTGGTGACAACGAGCCGGCTAAACAACAACAGCTGATTATAAGCCAACATTATGCTACTTAATATTAGGCTCGTGCCACCTGAAAGTTCCTTGTGACAAACTCTCATACAGTATAAAAATTTATTAACTAAGTGTCTGAATGCAGCAATTCAGTGAAACTTTATTCTCAGTGAAACTAGCAGCAGCTAACGGAGGCTAACAACAGCAAAATACAGCTGTGCTTAGTAACAGGAAATTTCAGGATATTGTCAACAGCTCAGGTTGCTTTGCTGTCTGAGAACTCTCGCTACAGATGAACGGTGACTTGAGTGACTCGGAGGTAACCATCTCTGTTTTTTATTGCTAAGTGTTGATATTATTCAAATATGTTCATTTACAGTTTACAAAATGTGTTTGTTTGTTTTTTTTCCCCTTTTTACACAAACAGCAGTAGAAACATGCCGACCGGGTGTGGCCTTTATGGGGTACAGTCTAAATTTAATATTGTTGATCTCTCCTTGCTGACTAAAACATGGCAGCTGCCATAGCTAAGGCGGTGCACTTAATTGGGGGGGTAAAGCCTGGGTTATCCTCAGTTATGTAAACAGACTGTTGCAGACCTGACGGCCAAGCAGTCATTCCTGTTATGCTTCTTTAAAGTCAGTGTGTAATGTAAATTCTCTATGGAGAAGTCTGCACGGTAACAAAAACCAAACAGGACCTTTGCACTAACCATCCGACGCCAAACTTTACGTGACTGGGACCCAAGTAGACCCCCAGACTTCCCGAATCCATGCTTAGGATAACAGAACCCAGTAAAGGCAATATGTAATCTACTGACATCCAGTCATGAGATTTTAGACCCTCTACCTTAAAGAACATGCTTTTCAGATACTGTTTTTTTAGGCTTTACATGTCTTGTCCAGTTCTTCAAATATTTTAAGGACACACTGCAAACCATGCTTAGATATGTCCATCCAACCAAAGCCTGGAGAACTATTTCTCAAGACCATGTTAAACATGACAAGTCTGGCTCCTCAGAAGCAAAATATAAAGAAATGAGAACACCACACTGTACTCTCTTCAACACATTTCCTTTTGCAGTTTTTAATTGATATCAGATTTTTAAAACCAGCTGCACAAGCTGGTGAATGAGCACTCTTTTAATCCCAAGTTGTAAAAGTATATCAGTGGTAGTTTTCAGACAGGATGCTGCTGTAAGAGATACAAACAAAACAAAACAACAAAGCAAAACTACCCACCTTGTCTCATCGCCTCCCCATCTCCCTCAGACAGGAAGCTGAGCAGCGCACGGGAAATGGCGAGTCTCAGCGCCCCCGCCTGGCTCGACCTGCCCCCGCCGCTCACCTTACACTCCAAGTTGAAGCGGCCCAGCACGCCCATGAACTGCAACGGGAACATCAGCTGCTCTCTGAGAGGTATTTTTAAAAAAAAGAAGAAGAAGAAGAGAAAATGACCAAGAGATAATAAGGTGAAAGAATGAAACGTGGCTGAATGGGCAGACCAGGAGTGTGCACTATTTAACAGATAGCGGTATCAACGGCGGAGGCTTAGCTAATTTAATGTCTGGTTGGGTGACTTTTCAGACAAGCGTAGAGGATCCTGGCGCTGTGAAATGCCTTCTTTTACAATCTCACCACCACATATAACAGAGTAACTTCTGACTCAGCAGGAAGAGGATAAGAGTGTGTGTGTGTGTGTGTGAAAAAGAAAGTGTCTGTGTTCTGGATGGCGTCTTAGGCTGAATGGCCCATAGCTGCTGACAAAGTCAATTGTCACCTCTCTGCTCCAATTACAGCCCCGTCCTCACACTGCGTGACAACACCAGCTCTGGACATTCACTCACACACACACATACACACACTCTTACACACACACACACACACACACACACACACACACTCTCACACACACACACACACATTCTTATCATGCGCACACACATACAGATCTGATGTGTAAAGAGCGTCTTGCAAGCTCAGCAGTCATAAACCTGTCAGGAGAAGCGATGAGCGACTAGTCTG